TTGTACAATTTCTTCATAATTTGGTGTTTTATGGTTACCTAGGAAATTTTTGACTGCCAACACAAAACTTTTCCAACCTTTACTTTCCGCAACAGTCATAACTTTAATAAAATCTGTGTCTTTCATCAATTGCCTTAATTGAGGACCATCAAATATTCCACCTTTCAACTTTTCCATACTAAGCTTCGAAAATTTTCTACAAATGTAATTAAAACACTCTCCTTCCTTGTCCAACGCTTTTACAAATTGCTTTATCATTCCTAACTTAATATGTAATGGTGGAAGTATGATTTTATCTCTGCTCACCAACGGCTCCCTTATTACATTGGCTTTGCTGACAGTTAAAGAATTTCTTACAGGCCAAACATCTTGTTCCCAATGAAATTGCTTTGCTCTACTGTGCCACATACGAATGAAAAATTAACTTTTTATGTTTTTATTGATGCTCCGAGTAATTAATTTTTAAAAAATCTAATTTTACATTTTCATATTTTTCCTTGAGTTTTGTTGAATGGGCAATTGGAATTGATGCAAATTTATTTCCATTGTGCAGTAAGACGCATTTTAAACTTCTTTTACAACTGTCAATAAAAAGGCCCTACTCGGTAGGTTTGTATTCTTTTAAACCCATGTCTAGAAGCAGCTTCGCGATATCATTACAGTACACCAGTTCTTCATTTTCACTAATAAATTGTAATAACTCACTTTCTCGTGTTCTGTATGTTGTAATTGTTACTGTTGGAGCCAATAAATTTTCTTCTTTCAATCTTTAAGGTAACAGTTCTGGTTCTTGTTTTGATAAATTGAGATCACGTATTAAATCACTGAGTTCATTTTGAGAAAATAGCTTCGGCGTAGATGTTTCACGGAATCAGACTGTCCCGATTTCTGTGAATTTGGCAACATCATTGTTTCTGAGGGCATGCGAATTACTTTTGAAACGTAAATAGGCTGAGGGAGATTTTTACTGTGTAGAACAGGACATTTTGTAGACTGTAAGTCTGGTCACTACGCAGATGTAACAATCATCGAAATGATTCTTAGGCTCCATCCAGATCATAGGAATACCAAAGTCTAATCCAGAACGTTCTCCTTTCTTCCACAACCGTAAAGAGTCAACACAAGACTTACAAGCTTTATAAGGAACCCATGATTTATCTAGTTTGTCCATTTTAAAACCGAAATATTCGGCATAAGTCTCCTCGACAAAGTCTGTGATATTTCTTTTTTGTTTTTTTGTTATGTAAACACCGCAAATATAACAAAATAAATCACTACTATATTTACACTTTCTTCGTGACGAATTCATGTTTTAAAAGACAAGACAAATATATTAGAATGGACATTCAGTAATTGAAACAAAGTATTAACACATGACAACTTATCCAGATTCATGTATAAGTACTTCAATATTGTCAAATAACTGAGATCTCAGCTGTTCTACGGAGCAAGGGGTCTGAGAGTGGGGATCACGTGATATTTGTATGTGCGAAAAAGTTGCGCAGAAGCCTAGTCATGACTGGGAAAATAAATTTTATTACTAACAAACCGATAATTGTTCAAAATATAAGATATAAAAATCATAAAAAACAAGAGCACATTCAGTACTTTCATGAATATATCTTTGCTATCTTTGCACTTGAAAACATAAAAACTCGATAGAAAAGATACCCTGGGCAACAAAAAAAATTTTTTTTATTGTAGAGCCGTGTTATGGTTGTTTTATGCGCCCGACGTTCTTTATTTAACGATGGAACGATAATTTAAAAATGTATGGAATGAGATGGAGTTTGTGAGACAGAAAGTAACGTGGCCGGTGAAAACTGCTATTGCCGAAACCGCCATAATAGGCACTTCCAGAATTTGTGGATTTTTTATATGGGTGGGAGTGTGGAGGAACTTCGAAGTTTCAACGCCCGAACCACAGAGGTTGAAGTCGGCTACGAAACAACTGATAAAGCAGCCTTGTACAAAGTGGATGTGAGGGAAATCAGTATTAACGTTATTATAGAGGGAGGTTACATGTCTGGGATGCGTAAATAAAGAGCATTCTGATGCTAAGCATCGCGTTCAAATTGGCTCATAGGCGGAAATGCTGTTTCGATTAACCGGACGTTAACTATCATTAGTAGTCATCCGTGGGATAGGAAAGAATGCACATCTCTCTCCAAAGATAAGTCTTACGCCACCTGAAAATAATGGATGTGACTTTATCATCAACTCACTTTACGGTGCTACAAAGATGCTGAACCCACTGTTGTGTCTAATACCAATTAAAGAATAAGTAGGGAGTAGAAAAGCGCGTGTTGCTGGTCTATTGGTGCTGTATGCTGTGAGCGTAGACAGATAATTTAGATAGGAAGGAATGCCAGGATCGGTTGGTTTTTCAGCAGAGGTTCGAGCTGATAACGGCCATCCTTCTACCACCATCATAGCTTCCAGTAGAAAATTCACTGGGATGAGAAGGCTCAATCTCAATTCCTGGATGACAGAATTAATGTTGCCTTCATTCAGGAACCAGAACTGGCAAATGCCGGATGTATTTCGATAATGGTTTCGATAATTTACTTCGTACCATTCTCTTTTGTTATAGCCCTTATAACAATATATGTCTTATCTGCATATTTATGTTTTTCTGGTTTCAGAGTACCGTGGCCATTATTGCACAGCTACAGTAGAGAAAATTCTTGGTAAGATGGACTGGACAAAAAACGTCATTTATTCCATGTACTTCCACCAAGCACCAACAATTATAGAGTTGAGTATCTCTTGAGGTACTTATAAGGTGAAAGTCTTGTTGTTAGTAAAGTAAGCGACGAAACAACATTAATATCATAAAGGGAGAAAACTAACATAATATTCAGCTTAATTTTATTCAGCACATGAATATCGTCATGAAGGATTTTTTGTTAACTGTCAAACAGTAAACATCTTTCAATTTTAATATACATGTGGGCTAAAGCCGATACTATGTAACGAAACTCCAGAAATTGCGTCCCCTGACCGGGTAATTGTTTCGTCTAAACTCTAAACCGTCCAAATTGCTTGGGGAGGATAACATCCTTGCTGTACTATGATAATAATTTTTGGTGGTTTTTGACACTGGCGGATGTCCGCTGAATCTCTTTCAGTATGTATACCAAGTAGGAAGGTCAACTAATCCAGCTCTATATAATCTGAAGAGTGGAATATATAAATTCTTTAGAGAGGAGTACATTTAATAGTGCAACACCCCAATTCACTGTGTTGACAGGTTGACATATATGATTCAAATCAGAAGGTTATTGTGCGGAATATACGATATTGCCGTTATGGTTAAAAGAACTCTGTATACCAAAGAAACGAAAACTCCTCCAGATAAAGCTAGATACTAGTTACGGATGGAACAAAAGAGATAATTCGGTTAACAATTGTTCAACGTAAAATATTAAGGGATCACTCTTAAATATAATCCCTTCTTCTAATGCTCATTCTCAGAAAATCCTTCAGAATGGAAAGCTATATGTGTGGTCTTGCTGAAGTCTCTGTGATATGTATTGGGGCTTGAACCTTGAAAGACTACAATGGCTCTATATGACTGACTTTTAACTATAATCAAAAAAATTTCACGTGCCGAACCATATATTAAATGGGCAATTTTAAATTTAATAGGTACCACGGCAATTCCAACGATGGACATCTTGCTATATCCTCTTGCTTGGCATCATTTTGTAAATTTGATATTACGCTGTCACTAGACCGATGATGGAAAGTCCAACTACTTTTGAAAAGACGAGTTATCTCAACACGCTTTATTATAACTGCTATTGGGGACTGCTTTCTGAAAGGTAGATCTAGACTGATAACAATTTTTTTGTAACAAATTAACATTTGTCTATATACTGATGGGTCAAACAGCGTCTGCGAGAGTAGAAGCAGTCAGTAACTTTTGCGGACGTATTTGCCAGCTGCATAGTTAAGATTCTTTTAGATGGTCGCTCTCCAGACGCTGGCTGCCACTAGAATGGGTTCTACTTGAGTTCTAATAACAGAGTTGCCCCAGTCACACCGCTTGGCAATGAAGCCGCTTATGACGTAGCAAGAACTAACGGAGAATCAGTGCTCGTAGGACCACAACTTGCAATTAATATATTGTCTAGGACGGTTAAAAAAAGAATTGCAAAGCGGACTGAGAGCAGACTTAGACTTCTAAGAACCAATTTTCCTGGTATGAGACTTGCCAAGAGGTTTAAAATAGATGATATTCGATTAGCACTAAAATTCCAATAAATATGCTTCATGCCTTAGTACATTGAGTTTGTCCCATGATGTAGAATACCCCGACTATGTTTACATTTATAGTGAGTTTACACATGCATGGATTTAGTGGCGTCAATACAAACTGGTGCGCCAGTAAAATTAAATTGCATGTGTAAACATCAACTGGCATGCAAGTTGAAACCATGCATGCATGGATCGGAAAAGTCTGCACCCTTCTGCAATTACTGGCGCCAGTGATGAGTCTAAAACATGTAACCATGGCAACATAGGTGAGTGTCCACAAAAATACAAAAATTTTTAATGTCAAATTTAGGTTATGTTTCATTGCATTCAAATTAAATCCCAATTACGTTAAACTGGCGTGTCACTTATTTTTTACATGTGCCACACCAGTGGCACATGTAATGTAAACCTTTATTGGCGTGCAAGTAGAACTGGCGCAACTACTGGCGCCACTAAATCCATGCATGTCTAAACTCACCTTAACTTGATAGTATGACAGTAAAGTATGTTTTATGTCACTGCCGTTGTATCAAATCATTGGCATCTAGAAAACAATTTATATCCCCGAGGATCAGGGTAAGAACTAAGATCATCAGGCGTAAAGTTCAATTTAATGAATGGTTAAAAAATGAAGAAAGATTTTTTGATATTAATATTGAATTTCAAATAGTGTATAGTGTTGTATAGTTCGAGAACTATACAAACAAAATAAATTTATTTAATAAAAGACGAAGAAATAAACTTAATAATTTATTCTTTATTGTGTTGGAGAGTTTTCTTTCAAAGTATTATCATTTTCTTTGTTGTCATTTAAAACTGCATCTTGTTCGCTACTAGAAGCAGACTTTTTGCTAGACTTCTTTTTTGACTTCTTTTGTGAAGAATCAGACGTTGAACTTACAGCTGAAATATTAACATTTTCAGCTTTATCATTTTGAGGATCATCTTCTGATACACTACTTCGTACTTCCGCATTATTCTTTAACTTCTTTTTATTTTTAGAGGAAGTTGATGAAGTATCACCTGAAATGTTAGCATTAGCTTTCTGGTTCTTATCCTTGTGTATTTCATTATGGTCAGTTGGATGAAAACTTACTGACTTTGATTCATTTTCATTATTTTGATCATTATCATCAAGAAGACTACATGGTATTTCAGTACCTTTACAATCTTCTTTACATTGTCCTTTTTTATGCAAAAATGTCTTTCTATCTTCTTTAAATTTATGGCTCTTATGATGCGATTCATCTTCTGGTTGTCCAGTAAAATTTTTTTTTATTACCCCGAATAAACTACATCTTGATGCTTTATGTTCGTCATGTTGTTGTTGTTGCCCATTTAATTGTCCAGTACATTCTTTAAGACACATTTTTCTTCTTGTCCCGAATAAACCACTCCTAAATGTTTTATCATTGTCTTTTTTTTCGCTTTCGTGTGAAATTTGATCGGAATCTGGATCGCGGTGTCCACCGCATGGTTCTTCGCTACTTCCCTCGCAGTCTTCACTGCAAACCATTTTATTTTTATGGAACGGACTTTTTATTAGGTGATGTAAACTCTTTTTTTCCTGATTCTTTTCCTGTTTGTCGTCTTTACATTCATGTTGACATTTTTTAGAACGAATGCCAAGGTGGCTTAATACACCTGAACAATTAATTGGCATTAGCAAATTTTTTCTTATGGTGAAGATCGAATCATTTTTATATCATGTGAGTGTCGCATGTAACATTGCGATGTTGACATAGATTGACTAAATCAATCAAATTTCAAAATGACGTTTCTGTCATTTTAAGAAAAGTTTAAATGTTTAATTTAAAGTTTAGGTAACAATGTGAAATTCTTCTTCTATCTTTTCAATATCGAAAGTGTAAACAGAAAAGGTGAAATCGTGTGTTAGGAAATAAGAAGAATAAAGTTTGTCTACTCTCAGTGAATATTTCGCAGAAGAAGACGAGTCGTGACTCGTAAAATAGCCATTGTCCACCATTCAATTAAATCACCTCTTCGTCTCTCGGACATTTATGCAGAGAGGAGAGCCTTTGGGCGTCCCGTGAAATTGAATCCGTCTCAGAGACGTCTCAAGGTTTCTGTAACTATTCTTCGAAGCTTTTCGAAGGCACAAAATAAAAGTGATTTATCCCTCTTATCCGAGACAAGACCGTAAACACGAACCAAAGATCTCATTTATTTTTGACGAGCTTTCTCCTTTCAAATCGACAATTATCTCGTTCACACCACACAATTCTAACTTTCCCGATTGTTTACAAATGCGGCGATTGTTTTACAACCGTACCCCATAAAAATGTTTCCGCGAGCAATAATCTTAATCTTTTCCAAGCCACTGAAAAGAACACACATCCCGCGGCGACAGTGTTAAAATATTTACCCTCGAGTTATCACTTGAAAACTAACCCTCCTCTTTTTGAATGTTTGCCTTTTTCGGCGTAACAAGGGCCACTTCATTTTCGAGGAGGAGGGAAAAAAGTAGAAGAAAAGATTAAACGTGTGCCGCTAAACCGGATACGTGAGCTGTAAATAATTTGTAACCGAATTCCTTTAGTGGTGTGGTTTTTAGTGTCTTTGTTTTTCGTCGTCTTCTACTTGTTAGTTTTACCTGCACGGACTTAAAACGACCGAGAGAATGGACGAACGTGAGCTATTATTCGGATAAGATCTGGTCGATATCAGGATGATCGTTTGGGGTTCACCACACTACTTAGAATGTAAACCTTTCTACAAGGAAAATAATGGACTATGAAAACTTTAATAGTTTTAGAATTATAAATTGAATTATAAAAGGTATTATAAAATAATAAATGAAATGTCTATTGTTAGTTGCGCAATAATCCAGTTATGATTTGTGAGAAATAACATAACTTTATCTACTTATGATGTCGTTAATCTGGAGATTTCAAATCTTACATTTCAAGAGTGGAAAATTTATTTTTTACTGTGTTTGGAAGTTAATGTAATACGTTCGGTATTCGTAAATTAAAATTCCTTTAGAGATTTTGCAATAATCGGGTTAAAATCTGGGACGAATAACATTAACGAACTCAATCTTATTAAGTTTTAAACTCTCTCTAATTGATGAGTGTCTAAGATACCCGTATATTTGCTCCAGATTGTATCTGATAAATTTATGTGTCTGTTCTTGTTTTATCTGCAAAGAAAATCCCTTTGTATTAAGCATGCCTGGAAACCTGGCAAGATACTGAGGATATAATAAACCTAAAAATTGGTTGGCATTCTAAACTATATGAGTAATTTAGTGGAAGTGGAAGTTCGATAAAAACAAATATTTGAATACTAGATATTAAAAATACTATGTACTAATTAATTATATATAATTGACTACTTTAGTCGACAGTAACATCTCTGCTATAATTATAATTTTTTTTTAAGTAATATACACTCAACGACCCATTTATTTTCTCCCAATTGCTTTTTATTATAGTTATAAAACAATGTACAAGTAGCGACAGCTGTTGATGAAGAAGAATTGCTTCCAGAATTTAAACAACATACTATTTCATATTTTATTTGCACTCATCTACAACATACGTACACGTGTTATACACGGCTACTAGTTATATAAAAGTGTAATAAATAAAAAATATATGATAGTAACTATGTGCAAAATTTGTAAAAAAAATTAAAAAAGAAATATGTATAACCAACCAGATAAAATTAATTAAATTCGCAACAATATTTGTTAAGAAATATGTAACGCCACATACGCACAGTTTGCAAATAATGTTATGATATGATCCATATAGGCTAGATTCAGCATAAAGAATATTAAAAAGTTAGAATGAAGATGCCCTTAATATGTCTCCTAAGTAACTGAAGGTGTTTTAAGATGCTACTTTATCAAAGGTTCTTTTGATATTATATTTTACTGTTCTGTTATGTTGTGTTGAATATAAACTAATGTATATAGTAGGGACTTTAAATAATTGAAAAAAAACCTTAGGAATTCAAGTCTGGTGAATTAGGTGTTCAAGCAATTGATCTATCATGTCTTATCTAATTTCAAGGAAATATTCTGTTGATATACTACCGAACTAGAATACTGTAATGAGGTGAGCACCATCGAGCATGAGTTACATAGACGGTCTCGTTTTAAAGGATACATGACTTAACCGAATCATGTCGAGGAAATGGTTATCGCCCATTTTAGAACCAAACAATGGCTAAACTATAAACTTCATTGGGCATCACAAAGCTTTAGAACTTGTATCTTTTGAAGAGGATACAGTAAACTTGATGTAATTCCTCCCAAATAGATAAATAAATAAATGCCAACTTTCCCGTGGTAATCATAATATTTTCTTCAACAGTTTACTCTTTTTTCATTGATCACCTTGCTTGCTGTTCCTTTTCTTCTATAATCGTAAAATAAACCTTGCTCTGTAAACTTCCAATACAATAAAGAAAGCGTTATCAGTTCTTCCGATTGGAAATTGTGTCATGAGAAGTCTTTGGGCTTCGCATGAATTGCCATCGGCTTTTCCATACATGTTAACCATTTCCTCAATATATGTAGCGCCACATTGTCATTTGTAAACATCATTTCGACCCAGTAAACTAACTAGCAGTACCTAACAATAACCAAAAAACCAAGTACAGGGTGTCCCAATTTCGATGTCCGCATAGGCTATCTCCGAAACTAAAAGAGATAGAAAAAAAGTAGCTTACATGTCATGATCTCGTTTTTCGAGAAAATGCTAATGCCGAAAACTCCGAACAGCTATCGTCTTTTGTTTTCGTCCTATCGGCAAAAACTGAAAATTTTGCAAAAACGACAATCGCGAATATCTCACTTATTATCAAAGATTGAGTATTATAAATAAAACATTATATGGGCAACTTTTTACGAAGAATTCAGTGGCGTAGGTAGAATTTTTTTCCCATTTTTTATTTTCGAGATTTTTGACGTAACTTTATTTTTTTAAATGGAAACCATAGTTGGCTATGACCTAAAATAATTTGTTATTTTCTTCTGATAACAAATATATATAGTTTGTGGGGCATATTTCTTATAGTTATTGAATAATTAACAAAAATTCATTTTGTTCTATCTAAATATAATGTATGTATTTAAAAGTTAATGTTGCTATGGTGATAACTATACATACTATGATGGAACATAATGTATCAAATAATTGCCAAAGTTTGTATTTAAAAATTCGATAACAACTCTGGCATTATGAGCTGGTATGATGCACCAGCATGTTAGGTGTCAAAGTATAACAAAACTAAATAAAACTTTACAATGAACTTCGAAAATTATGAAAATGTAACATGATGGAATGCTATATGTTATCAGATAAGAATGCGACGTTAGCCGCGGAATTATATTTCACAAGGTATTCGGAAAGAAGACAACCGCACGTAAGAACCTTCAGCCGGTTAGCAGAAAATTTAATAGATTTTTGGTCCATCCCCAAACCACGTGCAAAAACATACCAAAATGGCCTGCAAGAGGATGAAGTCAATGTGTTGGCTTCACTTGCGATAAATCCATCAACATCTTGCAGAGAAATTGACCAAGACGTCTGACCCAAAAACCGCTGCTTCCGAATATGAAAGAAAAATATGTATAAACCATACAAAGCGGGCCTAACTCATTATTTACGTGCAGGAGATGTCAATCTAAGATTAGAATTTTGTAGATGATTTAGAAAAATTAAATAATCTGCTGTTTGTTCAAAATGTCATCTGGACCAATGAAGTCTCTGAGTGTTCAAAGAAGGTTGAGGTTCAATGTATGGTGTGCCCTTTTAGATAATAGAATGTTGGCATATAGTATCTACCATAAAAACTTAAACTCAGGTAATACCTCAATATATCAAGGCAGCACATTGTGCCTTTGGTCGACAATTTGCCATTAAATAAGTCTCAAATGATATATTTTCAATATGACGGAGCACCAGCACATAATGCCAGAGTTGTCAGTGAATTTTTAAATACTACTACAAACTTTGGCAATAATTGGAAACAATGGGCACGTTCAGCCGGTGTCAACAGTTAAGTTGCTATATTAGCAGTCGCGGCTGAACGATATGCTAAGTCAGCGCTGTTACGCAGCAGTTTAGTAAATATCTCAGCGTAAGTAATCTGCGCTTAGTTTGTCAGCGGTTGTGAAATTCTAGGTTAGGATTAATATTTTTTGTTTCTCCCCTTTAATTTTGAAAACTGGCAGAACTGTATAAAATGAAATGAGCCTTAAAATCAACATCATCATCCATTATCTCTTGTAATAACACAAAATTTTCAAAAATATTATTGTTGGCCATAGTTTTAGGTTATGCTGAACTGCTAATTCTCAATTGCTTGTTCAGCCGATTTCGTTCCGCTGTATTAAAGCTCATACAACTAGCTGACTGATTTAATTCAACTGTTGACACCTGCTGAACGTACCCAATGTTTTCCATCGTGGCATTGTTATCACCATAACAACACTAAGTTTTAAATACATACAATAGTTTTAGAAAGAACAAAAAAAATTGATACATTATGTTCCATAATAGTATGTATGGTTATCACTATAGCAACATTAACTTTTAAATACATACATTAGTTTTAGATAGAACAAAATGAATTTTTGTTAATTATTCAATAACTATAAGAAATATACCCCACAAACTATATATATTTGTTATCAGAAGAAAATAACAAATTATTTTAGGTCATAGCCAACTATGGTTTCCATTTAAAAAAATAAAGTTATGTCTCAAATCTCGAAAATAAAAGATGGGAAAAAAATTCTACCTACGCCACTGAATTCTTCGTAAAAAGTTGTCCATATAATGTTTTATTTATAATACTCCATCTTTGATAATAAGTGAGATATTCGCTATTGTCGTTTTCGCAAAATTTTCAGTTTTTGCCGATAGGGCGAAAACAAAAGACGATAGCTGTTCGGAGTTTTCGGCATTAGCATTTTCTCGAAAAACGAGATCATGACATGTAAGCTACTTTTTTTCTATCTCTTTTAGTTTCGGAGATAGCCTATGTGGACATCGAAATTGGGACACCCTGTACACATTCTTGGATATCAGTCGACCCATAGAATCAGGTACATTATATTATATTTTATTATATATTATATATATATAGTTCTATTTTATCATTTTGTGTTTGAAGTGTTTGATATTATTTAATTTCTATTGAAATACATCTTGTAATGGGGTTTCTCAGATCTTGTCGCAATGATAAGATCTAATCGGAAAGCTATAATGCACATGTTTGAAAGGTGCTAAAGATATTATTGAATGATTTGATACGTGGCGGTTTGAAACAGTATCACAAATTAAACTGTCGATTTTAAAGTTTTGGAGATCATTTAAATCATAAGAAACTAGAATTAAATTGTCTGAAGTAATAAATTCCAATTGGATTTCCGGGGGCAACAACGACGAACAAAAGTATGAAAACAGACAAAATTAAAATTGGCACATGAAACGTGAGATATGAACCGAGAAAAATATATGTCATACGCGAAATGCAAAGACTGAAGCTCAACATCTTGGGAATCAGTGAAACAAAATGGTCAGGTACTGACCAAGTCCTTACCAAAGATAAGCATGCTATACTTCTCTGGA